CTACAGTGGCTAGTCTGTAGGAGCTAGTAAGCCTACTATTCCATTTGTTTTAGATAGGCACAGCATGTTTCATATGCAGACCTTTATTTTCCAGCTTACCATGTTCATATAAAAATGTTTCAGTGGTACCGCTGAGAGAGTCCTTTTTTGATCATAGAAAATGAGGTAAAGGTCATGGAGAAGTCATTGAAAATCGTTGGTGAAAAAGTGTATGAACCCTGAATATATATATATGACAAAGAAAAGCAGTTTAACCTCATATTTAAGAAGCAAAAAATATAGAATATACAAGTCAATTTTATTATCAATATCTGTGATTGTGTTGCAAACAGGGAGACCAAAATTCAGTTTGACACTGTCCCAAAGATGAAAATATATACCACAAAAAATGTATATACAAACATACACAAAATAAAGAAAACAATATAAAAAAGGCATATAAATAAATATATAAAAATAGCACAGCTTTTACTTTAAAAATCCCTGAAATGATTTAGTGATAATCAAACTATCTGTCAATTTTTTTGTTCTCGATTAACTATTCAATAAATCAACTAATCATTTCAGCTGTAGTTCTCTCATGAAGATGACTTTTGTTTCAAGCAGGTATTTATCAGATAAATGAACTGTAAATGTAATGAATGATTTGTATTGAGTCCTTTATTTAAACAGGTAGTCTTGTTAAGATCAGTTGCTCGTTGTAAAGAGACCTGTGTACAAAATAAATAAATATATCCACATACAAGTCAAGCATTGAAAGACGAATACATGTAACAGCTGAAGGTGGGTGTAGATTATTGTGGTAATGTTATGCAAGCCTAACCTCTTTGTGAAAGAAGCATAAAACTTAGCCCACATGTGTCAAACTCAAGGCCCGGGGGCCAAATCAGGCCCTTGGTGGATTTAATTTCGGCCCGCAGGATCATTTTAAATTACTATTAGATCTGGCCCGCTGGTATATTGCACGCACACCTTCACTCCATCCTGAGGGTCTCCTCAGCTCAGAGCCTGACCCCAAACATTGATGACCTTGCACCCAAGATGAGATGCCAAGTATCTGAACCAGCATCACAGAGCAGCACACTGAGTTTCAACGGGTGTTTTCTTTTGTACTTTTTTCCTCTCATGACAACAGGGCCTGTTTGGTTTTTTCTTTGAGGGAAATAGTTTTTTTGATAAGAAATGGCTCTGCAGATAAGAAATGAATGCAACTGATCATTTAATGTTGTTTTTATAGGCAATCATATTTATAAGCTTTGTTAGTTCCAGGTTTAATATGTGCAATAAGTTAATTTCAATAAGTTTTGCAATAAACGTTGAACTAGTCCTGCCAACGACTAGTACCCATTTTTTTAAATTTTGGCCCACTGTGTATTTGAGTTTGACACCCCTGGCCTATCTCTACCCTGGCATTATGTTACACACCCCCAGTGTCTGCATCTGGATAATACCATAATAATACCTTCTTTACAAAATTCTTTCCACATCCACAGAGATTAGCCTCCCTGTGTCAGAGGTGTGTGTTTATAACCTGCCGCATGATGGATGGGCGACCGCTGGAATTAAACCGTGGATTCCAGCTCTCTCACTGCGTCACTCAGACACTTCATTATAACAATGGGTGCAGGCTTTAATGTGCTCCCTCTACTGGATTTATTGGAAGACTAGAAGTCTTATTAATAATAAACAAAGCTAAGGTTATGTTACATTACCTTAATGGCTGGGTCACAGGGAAAATAAGCTTCTTTAGCACATTATTCCTGGTGGCAGGGGCCCTAAATTAAAACCATTCTCTTTTTGAAGAATTTCTGTGTACAATGGCAAATGCACCAATGGTAAAGCTCTGTCACTGTTTAAACCATTCAGACTGATTCTTTCTAATAAATCATCTTTAAGCTTTTAACTGTGCTTAATTATTAACACTTTATTCAGTCAGCTGGAATGTCTGTTTTATACTAAACAAATGAATCGATACATAATCTGTAAAAGAGACAAGAGATTCATTTAATTATTTGTATTGTAACATTATTGCTTATTTTTGCTTAGTTTTATAAACACTGTCCAAGTTTCTAGGATGGCTTGGGTGTTTCAGTTCCCAGGCTTATGTTTTGTTTTGTACTTTAGAATACTGCACAATGGCTCCCTCTGCTGGACAAAGAATCTACATGCACTGTTTGAATATACCTCAGATTTCTTTCAATACAACATTCTTTTACAAGAGCTAAATAGAAATGAACGATCTCCAACAGGTGCACACAGGTCCGTACAACATATTTTAAAAGATTAATCGCAGTTATCTGACCTGAAAGAAACAGGTGTGTGAGCTCCAGTCACTATATAACTGTTCACTTTTGAGCTGTAAGTAGAATTTCTTTAGTGTTTAGCTGTTTTGAGTATCCTTTATCTTGTCACTGTGTGAGCTCACTGCAGTTTCAGCGTATGACGTGAATCAAGAATCACCATTTGTGATTTAAATGTGGTCATCATTTAAAAAAAAACAATGTTTTCACCAAAGACAGTCTGCTTCAGGTCAAAACCATTTATCATATCCATATAAAAAAAAGATGGAAATAATAAGACCTTAGCCCTAAGAATTACAAGAGTTAGAGTTAGACGCCTTAAGCCACATTAGGGTAGCAGGGTTCTTGAATAGTACATGGCAACTAACAGAGGACACAACCTCCAACATATGAGACAGGAAACATGAACAAAGCTTAACGTCATGTTAAGAGGTTGTCTGGCTTGACAAGTGTGACCAACATAAAAGAAGAGCTGTGTAAAAAGAATCTTTCAGTAAAACACGCATTTAAAAATGTCATTGTGGTAAGCTCTGTACAAACACTACGACGTTTTTTAAAATGTTTTTATTAAAAGGCAGAGGTTTCTCCTGGCACTTTGTCAGTAAAAATGCAAAAGGTATACGAATAAACTTCCATTCTTGGCTCACAGAGAGATGAGGAAGTTTCCTATAATGCATTTCTATCTATGTTGTTGTGCAATGTTGGATGTTTGCTGGCATGTACCTGTGTGTGTTTATGATGTCTGTGTGTGTGCACGTGTGTCCCGTTTCCCCCTGGCCCACCTCCCTCCTGTGACGTGACTCGCAGAGAGAGGCAGGCTAAATGAGACATGCATAATTCAGAGTTTCACTATAACATTGCTGCAGCTTTTTTTTTGTGTGTGTGTTTTTTGAACTCCTGTCACTTTGCCGCAGAATCAAAGAATAAAAAGGGAAATTGAGGGAAGCAGGGGATTCAAACACTAGCTTTCATACTCTTGTCAGCCCCGACATGATGTTAATATGAACACATCACAAGAGGAACCACACGTATTTCCCTCACACTGTGCATGTAGTCAAATATGTATGTTGCTAGTTGTTAGTGGGTGTTTCTGGCTGGGATCTACTCTGGCTCTGGGGACATGCCCTATTTGAACCTAGTTGCACAAACTTTGAAAAACGTTGTGAGACTACATATTTTAAGGGCATTGTTATGTTAACTTTGGTGACATGGCGTTGTTAACTTTGTGGTTATTTAAACTGTTATTTGTGATCATTTATAACTATTTAAAAATGAATGTTTATTTTTGCTCGATTCTAGGAGTACTATTGAAGAGGCGTATGCCAGGTCTATGACCAAACTTGCCAAGTCAGCGGGCAACTTTTCTCAGCTCGGGTGAGTGTGCACAGCATTGTAGTTTTCCAGAGTGAAGACTAGTTTGCATTAATATAAGTTTTTCTATCCTCTGATGGATATTTTCTGTTTAATCCCAGGACTTTTGCTCCGGTGTGGGATGTGGTCAAGACGTCAACAGAGAAGCTTGCCAGCTGTCACATGGAGCTGGTGAGGAAACTACAGGAACTTATAAAAGAGGTCCAGAAGTATGTGGAGGAGCAGGCCAAAGCACACAAAAAGGTAAGGAGATCGAAAAAGAAATGTGGCAATCACTTTCTCAAATCGCAAATGATGTTTTAACTGAAGCTGCTGTAATAAAACGTCTCTGAATAATAACATCTTTAACATTGAAAAGCCACCATTATGTCGATTCTGTGATGAGAGGAATACCAGATGTATTTGTTTTTCTACAGTCCAAACGTTGCAAGTCTGTAGTCCAAGATTCAAAATTGGCTAAAGCCACGCTATATTGACTTTACATTTACACCTTTAAAATTATTTTTTGGGCTTTTGGATGAAAATAGATGATAACAACAATTATTCTTCTGGGTAAAATACTTATTTTTAAAAGTCAATCAAGGAGTTATCTGCATTAAAAGTGTTTAAAAATATAAATTGCAAAGACAACTTTATCGCCCCAAAAAAAACTCACTAAAATACAGAGTAATATTGAGGAATGGGAATTTAAATCAGAAACGTGGATGAAAAACAGGTTTTGGCATCATCAATACCGAAATGTTCCCTTTTGGTCTGCCATTCTTTCCCATAAACCTTGTTTTTTACAAGTGGTTAACATTACAAAATAAGAGTTTAAAGATAGACCTTTTCTCACCTCTATTTCTTCCTCTGTTATTGGTCATATCTGTTCTTCGTCGCACGAAATTCTTTATTATTCCGCCGGGTTATTTTGCGCCTCTTCTGCTCCCACATTCCACATCGCAGAAACTCCGTTCAAACATCAAAACGTTCAGCTCGGTCGGAAATCGATGGCTATTACTTTTCTCATTCATAACTTTCATAATTCCAGAGATATATCCCATAATTCATCACATCTTTAACATGGAAGTCAATAGAGAAACTCTTCAGACTTGAAAAATCTTCATGCGACTTCAACTGCTAACTGCTCCTTCATACTTTCACTCAGAAACCTCATTCCAACTTTAAAATGTTACAAATCTTTCTTTAATTATTCGTGTAACACAACTTTTGAATCTGATTCATACTTTTAGAAATATTAAACATTGTTCAGACCTTGGTAAAGAGGCCTTCTTCAGATTTTAGAGTGCGTGATGTCACAGCTAAAGTGGAGGACAGATTTAATTTTTTCTTCCTATTTTCTTTTAAACCTGCCATAATTCCCAAATCCTACATTCCTGAGACATAATTTTTCATGACAAACGTAGGAAGACATCTCGTAGCTTGAAAAATAAAAAAAGATTAAGCAGAATAATTAAACAAAATGCCTCTTGAGGGCATGAAGTGACAAAACATTTCAACATGTCTCTATTAAACCCCATTGTAAGTTCAGCCTCATCTTTCCCCACCATAGCAGCCGTACACCTTTTTAGTTAATCTGCCAAAAAGGCCACATTATTGACACGAAAGTACACAAAAAGCACACTTCAGATGCTTAAGTTCCTTGACATGCTTCACGCTTTGAAATTTCACTGATATTTGTTACGGTTTTTCAACAAAACGTTCACATCTAAGAGGTTTATCTCTCATTCAGAGCAATGAAAATGCTCTCCTCTCACTGATTACTCCACATTACCATGGAAACCTTTGATCTCTGGACTCGTCGTTAGCTCAAATATAAACACCTGTGTCATGGAACACGATGATGTCATAACTCCAACTGACATGCTCAGAGCACAGGAGTTGTGTTTGTGCTTTCAGCATGACAAAAGGCTGTCACAGCGCCTCTCCGTCGCAGCGCCTCTCCGTCGCAGCGCCTCTCCGTCGCAGCGCCTCTCCGTCACAGCGCCTCTCCATCACCCAGCGCCTCTCCGTCACAGCGCCTCTCCATCACCTCCCCACACTCCCTGCTCCTCTCACTCTGTGTTTCTTGGCTTACTTGCAGACACAGTGAATACTGTAGCTAAGCAGTGTGAATAACACAAAATAAACACTCTGAGTCTTGGAGTGGCTCCTGAGAAAGCCTACATAATTTATTTAGCTTACTCCGGGGATGTTTACATTATAACATAAATGTGTCAAAACGAGAAACAAATAGGGTTCAGAGACGGTGATGAGTAAAACAAACGACCAAGCTTACTGTGTGGCCACTGTCATTACCCCTTTTATTTAACACTTTTATGTCCTTAAAGTAAGCCAATGTGACGAGCTTTGCAGATGGAACAAATGTGGTTTATTAAGAACAAATGCAGAGACTTATATATTTTTTAACAGCCGCTATATAATTTTAACTGCTTCCTGCTGTGCTATGCAGTTCTTTATCACATGCTGCAGAATAAAACTGAAGGACTGCAAAAGGGTTTTAATAGAGCCGTAAAGGACCTCTGTCTACACTGAAATTGAGTTTGTTATTAACTGAAACTTATTTATTTAGGATAAACCCCTTGAGATGAACCATCTCACTTTTAATGGGGTCCTAACATAGTACAAACGGCAACACAGTGAAGAGGAAACAAAACAAAATGACCAAACCAAATCAAGTCACAACACAACCAACAGAAATGAATCACAACACAAACAATCACAACAATTTAAAATGCAAACATAACCATGGCCACAGAGAGGCCATGAACAAATACATTGGCCCAGCAATAAAAATAAAATAAATATGGACACAATTCGCCTCAAAATCAGAAGACAAAGTATTTTTAAACATTTGAATTGTTAAAAATTTGAAAGGAAGTTATAAGCGTAACTAAGTTATGATAAACAAGGGGATTCCAAGACAAGTGTTTACTGTATTACGTTAACTATACAATAGCTGCATAGTTAGTAGCTGACATATCATATTTTATTCATGTGTGTGTTTTCAGACAAAAGAAGAGGTGGCGTCCACCCTTGAGGCTGTGCAGAACATCCAGACCACCTCTCAGGCTCTGCAGAAGTCCAAGGAGATCTACAATGCCAAAACCGTGGAGCAGGAGCGCCTCCGCAAAGAGGGGGCCACCCAGAGAGATGTGGACAAGGTGGGAGGTCACACATGACGTACACACACACACACCCTCATAGTCATGGTTTTAGTAATAAGGCATGATGAAGTGCCTTAACACTCCACTCTATACAGAAACTTTAACCCCAGAAGCGGCTTGGCTTCAGAAGTTAAGTGGAGCTCGGTTTCCTTGCTGATTTGTCAGTCGATCTGTGAAAACAGAGGGCCTTTGTGTATCGTACATAAACTGATGATGGCTGTTTATACTTTGCAGGCTGGAGTGAAAGCCAAAAAGGCCACGGAAACCTACAAGTCATACGTGGAGAAATATGCCGCCGCCAAGTCAGAGTTTGAACAGAAGATGGCAGAAACAGCACAGGTGTGTGTGTGTGTGTGTGTGTGTGTGTGTGTGTGTGTGTGTGTGTGTGTGTGTGTGTGTGTGTGTGTGTGTGTGTGTGTGTGTGTGTGTGTGTGTGTGTGTGTGTGTGTGTGTGTGTGTGTGTGTGTCACAATTCATGCCCTGTATCATCTCCAGATTGTGTTTTTTCCTCTGTAACGGAATCGTTGTGGAAAACCCTGATTGGATCCATATTGAAGGACTGATTAGATAAACTCCAAATTAAAATCAGATCAACAGAATTTGGCCTCCATATCCTCCCTCACCGCCACCAGAAATGTTTCCAGTTAGCGTAGCGTTTCTGTTTCCCCCCTAGCGAAAGCAGCACTGCTCCCCCCAGGATCACAGTCTACGGCTCATCTCAAACGCAGCACATGTGGACATGAGTTATAAACACTGAACACATGTGCTCTGACATCACCAGGGGTCCTACATGTGTGTCCTCTTTGTTTCGAGTGTGTCTGTGTGTGAGCATATGCTATCTGTTTCCGTGGAGTAGGACAAAAGCCTTATTTATTTGTCTCTGTAGTGTAGATGCAGGAGCGTGTGGCTCTTTATCTCTGAGCTTGTGGTTTCTTCTTCCTCTGCATCCTCACTTTGATTATCTCCTCGGTTAACCCTGAGTCAGACTTAAATGGGAGTAAACACTAGTATTTAGTCTACACCATACTACTGCTTGAGGCCAAAATGAACCTCCGTCCATGTGTCTCATGTATGGAATAAGAGACGCCAGGATATATAGCAGAGGTGGAAGAAGAGTAAATGTACTAAGTTACTTTACACCACTGAACTAAAGTGTGTGAGAGCACGATAGACTACCCAAACAGACACGCAGGAAGCGGCTGGGGCAGAATAAGGAAGTGAAGTTTCCTATTCTGCATTTCATCCATAACTTGTTTTTGTTTTCATGCCTGTTAAACGACACCATGATGCAGATTGTGCATGAAACTCATTTGATATGTTTGTTGCTCCACCGTGCCATAACTCACCTCGCCCTGTTTTTTTAGAAATTCCAAGACATTGAAGAAAACCACACTCTCCACATGAAGGAGATCATCCAGTCATACTCGCAGTCCGTCGAGGAAACACACGTTCAAATAGGAGAGGTGAGTGTGCACACACACACACACACACACACACACACACACACACACACACACACACACACACACACACACACACACACACACACACACACACACACACACACATGCTCTGAAACATTCCTGTGGGTGGAGTAGGTGTCTTGTTGACCTGCGGCTCCACTCATTGGGTTCACTGTGTGTCATATCAATTAGTGTCGTCTTTGATCTCGCTAATCGTTTAACTAAGAACCAGGAAATGGGCCATTCAGCCTTTTATGCCAGGCAATTAAAAACTGATCAAAACTCCCTCTCAGCCTATCTAAAACACCTCCAGAAGTCCAAACACTCGTCAAATCCTGTGTCAGAAAGTTAGAAGTGCTGCACTAGGCGCGTTTGTTCCTGCTAGATTGTGTTTAGGTTTGAGGATATGACATCAAGTTAAATTCAATTAGGATTTTAAAGGCTTTCAAACATTATCCACAGCTATATTAATCAGTATCTAACATTAACCAGAGATTTATTTTCATTTATTTATTCAGCAATCATACTTACCAGCGCCACACAGAAAGACTAACGACAATCTGTTGCTCTGTTCTCATTCATCTGAAGCTTCTCTGAGCTGATGCTGTGATGTAGTTCTGCTGTTGCCCATAGATGGCGTCACAGCTCCACCAAAAGGGTCTCAGTCCAGTCTGCAGCCTGGTCTGCACTTTGGAAAAGATGTGGAGCGACAGGCTACCGCAGGTTATTCAGCCTCACAGTTTGGGCAGTGCTGCCTGTTGCTGAAACAAATGAAAATATGACTACCGTAATTTTCGGACTATAAGGCGCACCTGAAGCCGCAGCAGCTAAATTGAATGATGTGTACATATATAAGCCGCACTGGACTATAAGCCGCAGGTGTTTTAATGTTTAATTACCATATGTAAGGGTTCGTGCACAGAGGGGATTGTCGGGAAAGAGATGGCTGTTTGAGGAAGCTCCCATTTATTAACATTTCAACAAACAAGTTGCATATTTGCATAACGTATTCAAGTGTTAGCATTTAGTGCAATAGTAGCTACAGAACATGTACTGTGTAAACTGTACTGTATCACATAGCCAGGGGTGGACTGGCCATCTGGCATACCGGGCATCGTCCCGGTGGGCCGTTGACCCAATGTGGGCCGGTCCGCAATGTTTTTTTTTTCTTTTCTT